TGTTTCGGCTGCTAAACCAGTATATTTCTTCATTCTTTTCTTCTATATTTCTTCCGTCTATTTTCGCAGTGTTTAAAGATATTCTCGTTGATCTGTATTTTCAGACATAAGTGAATAGTGCCTCATGAGATATTGTTCATGGAATCGACAAAAGACTTAACAGAACTTCGAAAAGCTTTCGTAGCAGCCTTACGAAGAAAGTAAGCTTTTAATTGAATTCCGTTGCAGATTTTGGGTTAAGAAATTCCTGCTTATCATTCTAATAAAAGAGCAGCAGTCAAGCTCTTACGACGAAGTTAGCTGGCGATGCGGCTTAAAAAACTAAGATGTACCTCACTAGGCGTACTAGTCGTTGATGGTTTAATATAAGAAAAGATGCTTATCCTTTTTATTTAGTTAGATATACATTTTTGATCCTTCTTGAACAAAAATATCGTAAGTTCATATTAAATTATCCAATTAGAAATGAGTTTTATTCTACATTGAATTCGGTAGGGATAATTTTAAACTGTCTGAAGGAGTCCAGATGTTCAAAATTATCCGTATTGAAGTCGAGTTCTATTGGATGAATATCAAGTTCTGTCTAGTAATTTCCGTTTCATTTTTTTGTTTTTCAGCCCTACTCGTCCCTGCTCATTGGATGTAGCTGTCGAAACCTTGCAGTTTTTGCGCAAAGTTATACTTTATGATAAATATGAAACAATCACGTAAGTGCATTTGTTTTCAGACAATCTATTCATCGAATTTCACAAAACTGTGTTCAGTTCACTTCAACTTCTTTTTCCTCTCATCACCTTTTTTCATGGAAAACCAGCACTGATACTGTTTGCCACCCTAACAAGGAAGGAGACTTAGTCGAAGTGGCAATATAAGCAGAGATACATAGCTGTAGATGCAGCTTGAAATGCTAATTCCAAACCTGCCTTCTGTATCTGCGAAGCGTTTTTACGAACTAAGTCACGAAAGTTTATCCCTGCAGAGACTCTTTACGGCCTTTTAATAGTTGACCTAAAATGTCAGACTCCACTTTAAACAACACAAGAAGCCATTTGATAGAAATACCTCTTCACCATAATTTAGCTTCTGCGCTGCTGTTTTGGATAGTGATATTTTGGTTAAATTATCTTTGCATTCTCCTCAGATCTTCATTTTTTTAATATCTTTAAAACGTATTTGTAATTACCATTTAAAAGTTCGCTTACTCTTCTAGTGACCTTCTTAAAGCCTTGAATTCTCATGGTCGCTGGATTTGTGCCATGGTTCCAACTGAGCTAGTCATCCGCAATGTATTGATGATGGTTGCTAAATTAGCACGAGAGGAGAGCTCTCGAGATTCAGGTTAAAACCTATATTGTAATTGTATTTCTAGCTCATTTATCCAATTATCATTTTATTTCATTCTCTGCCTGTATGTTTGACGGTTCCTCTTTTATTCAGGTGAACCTATCTCTGCTTTTGATTCCTTGAATAAGTTATGGAGAAAAAGTGAGGATACTGTTGGAGTCGCTAGCGGAAAGAAAATGAAGAAAGGGCTAATTCAGGCTATAAACGAGGTGTGCTTTCTTTCAGGTGTTTGAAGAGAGAATTATTTCTCAAAATTCCTCCTTTCATTTGATTTAAAGGTATCTTCTGAGATGTCCCTATCTTGCGAAAATATAGCTGCTCGAGCCGCTGACCTTATCAGTCTCCAAGATGTTTTAATAGTCCATCATCTCAGCGAATCACCTACGTTGTCAGCTTTTCTTGCATCTGCACGTCTTACTAGGAAACATAGGGTTAGTTCATAATTTGAATATCAGGTCAGTTGTTGTTACCTCTGTCATTGTTCTTAGGAATATAGTATTTTAAAAGCAAGTGCTTACTTTTTAGAAGGTTAATAATGATGGGCTTATCTAGATTTGTTTAATGTGGATTAAATAATCTCTTCCATTTGTGCAGTTCCTGCTATGTTATTATTTGCTGTTCCAGGTTCTTAGTGTTGTTCATAGCAGTGAATTTGATTCCACTC